TATTCTCACTCTCAGACTCCCAGGAATCGGCGAACTCAACAGCACCATTCTCTCAATCCTTAAAGGGCACCGGCGCTCAGACTCCCAAGTCGGGCTTCGGGCTCGGGCCCGGGCTTCGGGCTTTTTATGAGGGCCGGGCTCGGGCCCAAGTTTTAGGCCCGTTGGTCGGGCCGGGCTCGGGCTCGGGCTCGGGCCTGAAAAGTTTATGTTAATAAAGAGCAAAAGCCTGGCCCGAGCCCGGCCCGACCTGGCCCATGAACAGGTCTAGTAGTGAGCTGTTTGCTAGGTGTTGGTCCTTTCGGGTCAGAGGGTGCTTGATCTTGATTTAGTGGGTATGTTATCTGCTGGACCGCCTAGTTTTTGTGTTAAGGTTCAAAATATCGATACGCCCGATACTCCGGTATGGGTGTATTGGGCGAATCGATACTATTTTTTTTTAATTTTTTTCTATAACCAGTTCAGGGGGCTGGTTTAGGTCTCCTCCATCCCCTAAACCGGTCAGACCCCCAACACACCCACTATAGGGGCGTATCGGTCGGGTCTCGGAACGATATGTATTGATCGATACGGGCCAAAACGTGTTGATACTTTGAACCTTGGTTTGTGTTGTCCTTTTTTTTTTCGGGGCTTTTGCACCCTTTTACTTTTGGGTCATTTACTAAAACACCCCATATAGTTTGAAAACAATTTCCTTAATTGACCTTCTATCAAGAATCTTTTGTATTTTTGTCTGAAAATAGTAACTTGACCACCTATACTGAATGGAAAATGTTCAAGGGCATGGACCTATGATATTTTATTCCAAAATTATCCCTATCACTTCATATCGAGCTTTTAAAATGAATTAATGGTTGATTTTCATATCTACCATACGAAGTTTAGTTTTAACATAATGAAGAAGAAGATAGAACAGTGCATCCTAGGCTATTAGTTTGCATCAATATGTCTTCCCTCTTGAAATAGAGAATAAAATTGATCAAAAAGAGTTGCTGCCCATGTTTTACTAAGTAAATCAGTTGTGAATCATAAATCCATTAAACTACAAGGACTAGCACCCTTTTTTTTATTGTAATTACCTTATCTTTCAAAAAAAAAAAGAATAAAACGGAAAAGGAAAACCACTAGAAAACCAATCATCACTAGACTTGGTTACAAGCTAGGTCAGGTTGGGAATTGTCTCTTTATTAATAAAAATTGTCTAGGCCCGAGCCCAAGCTTGACTCTTATATAAAGTCCAAAACTTGGTTCGGGCATAAAAAGTCCTACATATAGTGTAATTTAATAAACTAATTAATATTATATATTACACCAATGTTTTTAAAACCATACTAGATCGGATGGTTGGACTAGAAAAACCGGGAACCGGTTGCCTGATCGGTTCCGTTTTACCCTAAGGCCATCTTTTGGAAAAAAACCGTTGATTTGGTCAGCAAACCGCTGACCCGGGCGATTGAACGTTCGAACCGTCTAATAGTTTTTGTTAAAATGGGTTGTTCGTTTGGTTCAAACGGTTAGATCGCTCGATCCTAGAACCGAACCCTTGAATGGTTCGTTGTTCGATTCGATTTTAAAATATATATATTTGTTGGGCTTAGGTCGGACTTATTTGAGAAAGCCTAAGCTTGGTTTGAAAAATAGTCAAGCTTCGTGCTTAGAGCCCAAGCTCAAGCCTATGGGTTTAAAATTTTGTCCAAGAACAATAAATAACAAGCCCAACCAGTCAACGAGCCTAGCCCATTGGGCTACCCAACCCATGGACAGCTCTAGACACAACTTGAGTGAGTAAATGGGTAGGTTTTACCCAGAACTGACCTCAGACCAACCCCACCTAATTTGTTAGTAGGTAAGGTTTGGTTCCAAGTTCATGGAACTAACCCAATCCAAGCTAGTTCCATAGTATAGGGGGTTTCCCTTTCATGAACTGACATAAAAAACCAACTCTGGTTGATCTTGGTGGAACTAGCCTTGATTGGCCTTGGGACCAAACTTGTTTTAAAATAAACTCTAAAAACTTTGGGAATGTAAAGATTTGAACCCAAGCACTCATGGTTACAAAGGATCATGGTCACACTTTTAACTATGGTCCTTAAACCAACCCTACCTAATTTGTTATTGGATAGGATCTAGTTCCAAGTTCATGGAATTGACCCCACCCAAGATGGTTCTAGGGTATGGGGGTTTATCCTACCCAAACCGGCCTATAGAACCAACCTTGGTTGACCTTGGTGGAATTGGCCTAATGCCCTTGGAACTAGACTTGTCTTAAAATAAATTCCCAAATACTTTGGGAGTGTAATGATTTGAATCCAATTAAGCACTACTCATGGTTGCAAAGGAACATGGTCTCAATTAACCATTTAGCCACTTACATGAATTGGCAACTATTCTTTAATTTAATAATTAAATGTATATAATAAGTAATGTAAAAATGAATGTTTGCATAATTTAAATTATAATGATAAGTTTTGAACTATATATTAATATATTATAATAAATATATAGATTTGATCAATAAATGTAATATAAGTTTTGATATTAACATTATCATTGGTACAATTTGTGATTATAGTATTCTATTAAACTCAACAACATATATAGCTATCTAATTTAATTTTTAACATTGTGGAATGATGGATTTCAAAAATAAATGAAGTATTTATTTTTTTAAAGAAAAAATTTCATTTTTTTTGGTAAAGAAAAGGTGGTACCACATGTAGACGCTGGAACTGATCTTGACAGGCTAGATACTAGTTCCAAAAACCTATAACCAACTCTACAAAAATTTCAGGTTCTGCCTTAATATGTAACTGAACTGACCCATGCTCAGCCATCGACAACACCACAACTCAACCAAACATCTATTAACAATGCCTTGGAGACAAAACAACAAACACTAGAAAGGCATAGAAACAACACCATCAAGAAGGTCAAATCAAACAGATATTAATTTCCAAAACCAGTCCTAAATTCATATGAGAAGTTTGCCCAATCAAAATTGATAGTAGAAACTGCATGAACCAGCCTTTTACCACCTAAAACTTGGTGGTCAGTCTTTGACCAACATAAATCAAGTTGTTGAATCCAATCCACATGCCTTCCTTGTCATTGACCTCAATAACTATTTTTTAATCACAATTATGAAACCCAATCAAGGACTTGATGATTATTTGATAATACGTACTTAACCAATTAACCCACATCGCCTCCACTTTGGGAGAAAAATGATTGGATTTTGACGTCTGATGTATCGAAAGGAATGAACCTGCTAGTAGTGCTTGCACACAAGCAGTAGTTTTCAGCTTTCCCATCAGAAACCTCTCTAGCTAGACCCAAGCAATAAACCCTGTCTAAATAAAGAGGAAGAAGAGGAGCCGGAGTTGGATTTTGAATGAACCCAATAATGGAAAACTTTTATTCGGGATTAGATCTTTATTGTATAGTTAAAGTAGTACAGGAGAGGTACATCTGTGTAATAGACTTACACTTAATAAACATCAATGGACTTTATATTACTTTCACTGCTTATTGAACTTAATCTTCAATGGATGATCACTCAGAGCCAAATATCTGATTCCATTCTTGAAAAAAATACCGAGATCTCGGCATATAACCTTGCAGAACCTTCTTGGGGAGCTGAAACTGCACACATTGGGACAGAAAACAAGCTTGTAATCCTCCTCGTACGGTTCAATCTTAAACCAACTGCTCAGGGTTTCAGGGCCTGGGTTCCCCAAAGCCCCACAAGTGTTGACGAACCACTGCTGTGTCGATGGGTCGAACTCTCCCAGCTTCCACACTGTTGGCTGTGGGAGTAATGTCAAGATGGCAAACCTGATGTTGAGGTCTGTGGATACACGGATGATTCCTTTCTTAGGATCCACGGGATAAAACCATAGCGGCAGACCATTGGACTGATTTTCTTCATGTTGGACAACACCAAATGGGCAGCTGCTGGAGTTCTTGGTGCTGGCGAAGCCAAACCCACCAGCACTTTCGTCGGCGGGCAAGATGTAGTATCTGACCCTTGAGTGGAGCGGGCGACCCATTGTGTCACGAACAGCTTCTGGTGCAGCTGCGACCACCACCGGCGGCCATGTGGTGGCAAGGGCCAAGAGAAAGACAGGAAGCAGAAGTGGAGCAGTAGTCCTCATAGCTGTGACTATGCTTTGCCAAATTAGAATGATAAATTAATTGACGATGAGAGGAAACAAAGAAGGATGTCTCGTATAAATAGAGCCCCGGCCCCATGGATGGATGGCTTTGGCCAATTAGCCAATACCCCAATAAACAAATTAACTATAGATCTTTTAGTCAAAAGTCAAGAGGGATTGAATTGAATGGAGAAACATCCGTTCAGGGGATGGAGTACACAGGAATTGTAAACAGAGTGAAATAAATGTTAGATAAGAGCAAGAGATGATTTGTAATTGTAAGGAATACAAGAATAAACAGTTCGTATGCTTAGAATTTTCTCTATTAGATAATACAATTGAATGGGTTGAAGTCAATTTTAGTAGGAGGCAGGGTTACGGCGGGCAGAAGAGGAGAGAAGAAAACCACCGGCTTGAACTCGAAGGCAAGTGGAGTGTTCTGTGTTCAGCTCTGATTTGATGGTTGAGTTAGAATTATAGTTAGAGTTGGACTTTTGCTAATCTTATCATACTTTGGGTTGGGTTAGTGTTAACCAACCCATGGGACAAACCGACCCAACCAGAATACACACTATCATTACTTTTATATCAAGTTGTGTTTAGTGATTTTCATTCCATAATTTTATATTTTATTACTGCTAATTTCATAATTTTAGATTTTCAAGTGGAGATTTATTAACCATTTTAAACATTTATTTTTAGACTTTCAACTAAAAATCATAATAAAAACATCGATCACACAAAATATCAATAAGAAAGGAAAATTTATTGTTCGGATCATGGCCGAACTGGCTTTGAGAGACACGTGGCCGGCCAGTCATCGCTCGACCACCATGGCCACATCGGCATATCTCAGCCAGCTCCACGGCCTAGGCTGGGCTATGCTATTATTGTGCCCCCATCTTATCCTTTTAGCCACGTCAGCTGCACGTCATACGGTTAAGCACAACTACGGATAAGAGGAGTGAGGAAGACAACTCCACTGGGAAATAGGACTCTATCCCAAGAATCTCAGTGGCTAACCTCATCCCAGAAACCCCGGAAGTCTAATCCGACTAGGACACGAATCTTCAGCTATAAAGAGGTATCCCATGCTCAAGGTAAGGGATCCAATTTCTGACACCCATACTATTACTCTGCTCGGACCAGCACCCTTATTGCTCGGCCCTACCATCCACTACCTTCTACTGACTTGAGCGTCGGAGTGCCTGCCCGGGGATAACTCCTCGGGCCTCTGACTTCCTTTCTTGATCATAGGTCTTGAAGCGCGGCCTTGTCCTTCCACCTCGGCATCGCCCTGTTAGCAAGAACTATCTGACTGCCTTCCACGGTTCGTGCACTACCTTGGATCGAGCAACATCATTTATTATACCAGAAAGTAATGTTTTTGAATTGCCGTGGTCGGACCATTTGGCTTGGGAAACAATCGGTTTCGTTTTACCGTAAACCCGGTCTTTAATAAAAAAACTGTTGAATTGGTCACTAATCCGCTAACCAGGGTGGTTGAACCGTTGACCCATTGGATTTGTTCAACAATACTTTTGGCCATTTTTTATTTTTTATTTTTAAATTGAAATGGGCCATCCATTCGAACCGGATGGTCAAACCGTTGATGTAAAAAACCGGTGGCCCAAACGGTTCCGATTTTAGGTCGATTTTTAAAACCTTGCCAGAAAGACATGATACCAGAAGTGCTTTGACCAATCAAAGTACCCCTGTGACTTGTGATGAACGCGACCCTGATTAGTAGGGGTGTCCATGAAAAACCAAATTGAACCGAGAAAACCGAATCACAAAATGTGGTTAACCGAACTGATTGGTTTGGAATTTTTGAAAAACCGAAGGACTAGTTCGATTTTCGGTTAACCTATAAAAAAATGGTAGTTAACCGAACGGACCGATATATATATATATATCTGTTTATATGTATATTTTATATATTTTTTTAATATATGTCACATATTTTCTATATATTTATTATAAATATATACTTACATTATATTCATAATAATTTATTTATAAATATATTATATATTATATATTTTTAAAATATTTATAATATATTATATATCATTTATTATTTATAATATAATATTTTACATATATTTATATAATATATATTATAAATATGAAAAGCCAAAAAACCAAAGAACCGAACCGGTCAAAAACTGAAACCGACGGACCAGTTAATTGGTGGTATCAGTTCAATTTCGGTTTGGAGAAATAGAAAAACCAGTGCCACTAGTTTGGTTTGTAAAAATTGCCCATGGTTTGGTTAACCAAACCGTGAACACCCCTATGATTAACCACATACTATTTGATTGGTTGTAACCGATATCATGTCTTTTTGATATCATAGTTGAACCCATAAAAAATTATGGATAGTTGTAGGCAAAAAAGTTCATTTTAGGTCTCTTCATCAAAGAACAAGATAATTTGTGAGATTTTATGAGGTAGGGGAAAAGATTGGGATCGGCCCAACTCGAGATCAACTTTGGGTTGGGCTATGGTTGAGAGGTGTAGGTTCAGTTAGGGTTGAGGGTTTTAGAACCTTGGGTTAGGCTAGACTTGACCTTAATCTGACCAAACCAGGCCCAATGATAAGGCTACCTCCTACAAGGCTGGCCAACCAAGTCAGAATACAAGACCAAAGAAATCTCTCAGTTCGAATTTTTAAATTTTCTGTCGTACTCTTATTCTTATCTTCATATGATGCGTATAGTACATCTATCTATCTATAGAAAGAGGAAAGAGGGGAGTTGTGGGGTGGGGGTGGGGCAACAAACTCTATTGTTGAGAATAGTTTTGGAAATGCCCCGTTACCATAGAGTGGGGTAAAATAGTAATTACTCCCTATTTCTTTTTAACCATAATCATAGACATGGGCATGAATGGGTGAAAGTCACCATAGAACTGGCTAAAGGGTCCTCTCACCAGTCACCACATCAATGATAACAGAATCAAGAGAGATGAAATCAAGAATGTAATCCCCATGGCCGGAGTGAAGATATTACTGATAGCTAGAACTAATAACTCAGTGGGCTGCTTAAAGGCTGTTTGAGAGATATTTAGACTTGAGAAAGGAAGAGAGGGAACCCTCCCTTTTATAGATAGGCTGCTTTCTTTTGTCACAACAATCTATTGAATTCTCTCCTAAAACAAAGAAATTTTTGTATGAGAAAGTGTCAAAGTGATACTAAAATCTCTATTATACAACAAACATCATTTTCATTTAGCTTTGATTGAATTTATTCAATTCGAGATACTCATGTGCCACAGACAAGTGAAATCATCATTTTGTAGGATGTAATCAATATGAACTTGTAAGAGGAGGAGTGAGAAGTGAAAGAAACAGAAAATTTAACCAATGTATAGGACAAGTGCCATGGATGCTTTGACCGATCAACCAATTTATTGCAAAGGGAGCACTTGCTATCATTGTTGAAATTAGCCTCATCATTCCGTAGCTTAGATCAACCAATCTATTAATTGCAAAAGTAATTAATCTCCATTTTCCAAGCTCACATTTCCTGTGATCGTGGATGTAGGATAATTTAATTAGAGACCCTCAATAAAATGCAGAAACATCATCATTTGCTGATTTTTATTTCTGATGATATGTAATTCGGCCGGTCTTAGTTGTCAACGACCTTGCCTCTGAACTGAGTAGCAGGGAACCTGAAACGGAGAAGATGAGGAAGCTTCGGGGGGAACCCGGTGTAAATGCTCCGAAGCTCAAGTTAGAGTCCTTCAAAGGCAAGATAAAACCAGATAGCGCAAAGTTTGCATACCCTCTTCTTCGAGCGTCCAAAAGGCGGGAAGTGTGCCGGCCTGCCTAAACGCTGATAGATGTGGCGACGCACGCTTTATTTCAAAATTTCAAAAAAGCGCGCCACTTGGGAGGCGCGATAGCAGGCGTCTTTTCAAATTTGAAAAAATGTGCCGCTACCGCTTTTATTGAGGAGATGTGTGCTGGCATTCCGTCAGTCTCGAAAAGACGTGCGTCGGCGCTCTGTCAGTTTCAGAAAGACGTGCGCCAATCACGTCTCGGTCTCAGGGGACATGCGGTCAGTGCAGCTGTAGGCCGTCGGATTGGCTTTGATCTAAGCCGTCGCTTTTCGGTCACTGTGAGTATAAATAGCGGGGGGGACCCCAGTTGTTGTCACTTCTGTATTTCTCTCGAGCTCGCGTCCGAGTTTCAGCTCGCATCCAGTTCGCGTCTAGATTTTTTCAGTTCGCGTTCAAGGTCTTCCGCTCGTCCGAGCTCCTGTGGTCTACAACCTTTTTCCGGGTGAGTACTTTCTTGGATCCCATCTCACTCCCTGATGTCTAGCTTGGATAGCTCAGATAGTCCTTTCAGCGGGTCTGATGCAGGTTCTACGAACCGAGTTGCATCCCCCGATAGCCCTAGCGAGTCGGAGGTAGAGCTCGAGGAAGAGTTCGAACTCGTAGGCC